GGTTTAATTTTCCTCAGCTTCAGCTTCAACTTGCATATGAGTAGTTGGTGGTCTGTTCCACAATCAGCTCCTGGCCTAGTTTTCACAGCTGATATTGAGCTTCTCCAGCGGTTTTTCCCCCAGATGTAATCGATCTGATTCCTATGCATACCATCAGGTGAAATCCATGTGTATAACCTGCGTTTATGTTTTTTTATAAAACGTATTTGCAATGAATAAGTCATTGATTGTACAAAATTCAATCTTTCTTTCTCCAGCTTCATTTCTGTCCTCAAGCCCACGTTTTCCCACTATTGATTCTTCTTGTCTGTTCCCAACTTTTGCGTTCCAGTCACCCATTATTATGAATGCGTCTTGATTGCATGTTCAATCTATGTCTGACTGTAAGAGTTGGTAGAAATCATCTATTTCTTCTTCTTTGGCTCTGGTCATTGGTGCATATATCTGAATGATAGTGTTATCCACTGGACTTCCTTGTAAGCATATGGATATAATCCTATCATTCACAATGTTGTGCTTTAAGATGGATCTAGAAATTACTTTTTTAACTATAAAGACAACCTCATTTTTCCTCATCTTTTCATCTCCGGAGTAATATATCATATGATCATCTGACTCAAAATGCCCCATGCCAGTCCATTTCACCTCTCCAATTCCTAATATGTCAATATTTATGCGTTCCATTTATTTCTTAACAATTTCTAATTTTCCTACATTCATGGTTCTCACATTCCATGTTCCAATCACTAGGGTCTGCTTACAACTGTTCCTCTTCCTTCTACCTAGGTTGCCCTTCTTGTTAGTCTATGTGTGTTCTGTTGTACCTTAGAATTTATTACTATCTTTGATCATCACTATGTGAAATCAGCACAGCTATTAGACAATCCCTATATTTTTGGATATAAAACCTGAGCCTCAGTAATTACTTGACCAAGATAACAAGAAGTGATTAGCAGATCACTAGTTCACAACACTTCAAAAGAATAAACTTGGGACCAGTGGTAAATCTTTTCATGACGTAAGGAAGCCCTGTATGATTGAATGAATGAATAAATGGATCCCTATAGGATTGAATGAAGAATTGATATCTTTAAACTGTGGCACTGGAGAAAAGTACTGACTATCCCATCGATTACCAAAAGTGCAAACAGATATATCTTGGAGAGAGTGCAGCCAGAGTGCTTCTTAGAGTCAAAGATGATAAAGCCTTGTCTTGCATAATTTGGGCTTGTTGCAAGCGGAGGGTACTTTTTGGAAAGGGACATTATCATTGGAAAGGTGGAGGGAGGGTCAGCAAAAAAGAGGAAGACCCTCAAACAGGAGGATTGAGACGATGCCTGCAGCAATGGGCTTAAATGTATTAGAGACTGTAAGGATGACTCAGGACAGAACAGGATTTAGATCTGTCTTTCATAGGGTCTCTATGAGTCATACTCTACTCAATAACACTTAACACAACATGATATTGAAGAAGAGGGAAGGATAAAGGAGCACATGGGAGCCTCTGAGATAGCTGATGGACGGATGCTTAATGTGTGCTGAGTTAATTATGGTGGCAAAATACCAGGTGACATGGGCACAGTGTACAAGGGAAAGGCCTGTAACATAGATAGAGGAGAAGCTGCATAAACTAGAGGGTTTTACAAAAAAGAAACAGTAGGAGAAGTGGGGAAGGAATGATTGAATATATGTTTTGGAGGCCTTATTGCTTAAACCCAACTCCCTCAGCCTCTTACCCTTTCAAAGCATCATTTGAAGAAACAGCCTCATCTTTTTTCTCCCTTTCAGATCTTGGCATTCTGGTGAACCCAATGATTCTAATGAGCATTGTGTTTTACTAAATTATCGTAATTCAAATCAGGATGGAGTCTGGGGCTTGAATGATGCCAATTGTGAAATCCCTCAAAGCTCAATTTGTGAGACAATGAAGCTCTACTTATGAGTGGAACAATCTTCCTGGACCTGTGGTTGAACTGACATGTAAAAGGACTGGCTAATTTTATCTTTTTGTTTATATGAAAGTCTTGTGTAAAGAATGTTCATAGACTTTTCAGTAGACTGCTACTTAGGATAGAATCAATTCAAATGTTCATTCATACATGAAATGTATCCTTAATGAGGCTTTTCTGTGTTCCAGAGATTGTACTGTATAACTGTTTATGAATATATGAAGGATGCATGAGACTCCTTTCCTAATTTCTATCTGATGGCTATGGGATTATTTATTGATATAACTAAAAAAATTCATTGCCTTCCATTCAGATAAATCACTGTATTACAAAGTGTCAAATGACTATAAAATGCAGTAAAATAATCCTAAATCTTGTGTTCTATTTGGATATTCTACTCCTAGCAATTTAAACACAACAGCATGAACAGAAATGTGTTTTAAAAATCCAGGTCTATTTGCTACAGAATTCTATACTTTTAACCAACTCATTGCTGATCCTCTCTTGAGTTTTCAGGGTAGATTTATCCTTTTTCTAATGGAGCAATTAGTGGTTTTGAAGAGCCAGGAAGGTGGACCTTTTGGGTTATCGGTACAACTCCCTTGGACTAAGTCACCAGAGCTCTCCACTGTAGGGATCTTTCTCCTAGCTAGCTTTTTCTTTGTATTGATTGGCCCAAAGCAAAAGAATTCCAACTATTTATTTTAGTTTCTCTCTGAGAGATTTATTACTTTTTAATTAAAAGCATATCATTAACAGTACATAAACAACATACAATTGCAGCAATTTATATTCCAACTTTGGTCCAGGAGACATTTTGGATTTATAAACGTTCAATCTTGGCATCTAATGCCAGGTTCAGGCAAAGGAAAGTTAGAGATTGAAATTAGAGAGTTGCAGTTAGATAAATAGAATGAGAGGTCACTGCTAATGAGTTGTTATTTTAACCTCATTTGATGGGTATTTTGAGAATTCATTTCTTTAGGTTAATTTTACAGATTTTGGGCATGGATTGCTTCTTAAAATGACCCTTAATTTATTTTTATTTCTCTTTTTCTCATGTTCTTATCCATATTTTCTTATTACTATAACATAAACTATACTTACAATAAAGGCTTTGTATTTTCACTGCCTTATACAGAATCATGATTGGTTATGATTAAGCTGGTATCATACAAAACACTTGTAAAACCAGACACAGTTTCCTAATGCGAACTCCTGAGGGTTTGTCTTGATTATCTGGATACAACTGCGTCATTTCATTGGCTTGTGGTGGCCTAATAAATAAGGAGTAGAGATGCCAAACCAAAGGCATGTGATTTGAATCCACCAACTGCTCCTCAGAAGAAATATTGATGAGCCAGAATGCAGTGCAGCTGGAAAGCAGCGCAGCCAGGAGATGGGCCTGAGAGTTGGAATTTGAGTAAGGTCCCCTTGTGTGCTCAATTGGTGAGAGATTGCTCACACCCCCTCCCAGTGTGTGTCTGTGCACATGCCAGGCATCTCCAGTGTCCATGCCTGACACCAGTTCCTGTGCCCATGCCTGGCACCTGAGCCCACACTCAGCCCTGGTGCCTGCCTCTATGCTTTATGCTTGCCATCCACCTCTACACTCTGTCCACCTTGACTCAATGATTTCAGATCAAGTACATATCATCACTTCAGGCATGAAAAACTCTACCACCACAAAGTCACAAAAGAAGCAGGTTACCTTACACCCTACATATGCCCAAAGCAAGATGTCACCACCCACCCCCCAAAAGTGATACAGTGTCAATGAATTTACTGAAGCCAGAAATCCTGATGGAACTTTATAACACAGCATTAAAAAAATAAACAAACAATGATTAAATATTTTCAATGTATGAAAGACAAACTCAAAGAATTACAGGACACTGTAAACAAAAACCAGGAAGAACTTAAAAAAAAATCCAAAACAATGCAGATAAAACAAATGAGGCATTAGAGACTCTGGGAAAACAAGAAATCATGATCCAAAATATGATGTCCAATGTTTCAGATGCTGTCAACATGATGGAGGGACATATGAACAGGGTTTAAGAGATGGAGCACAGGATCAGTGAAATAGAAGACACAATTATCATCACTGATCTGCTAGAGCAAAAAGGAGAATCACAAAGGAAGGATAAAGAAGAAAACCTAAGGATCATGTGGGGCATCATCAAGTAAAATAATATGTATATCATTAGAATCCCAGAACAGGAAGAAGTAAAGACACTGAAAATTTGTGGAAGAATTACTAGAAGAAAACTTCCCATGCATAATGAAGAATGTGAGAATATATATTTAAGAAGCTGAGAGAAAATCATGTAGAATAGATCCCCCCCCCCAAAAAAAAATACCCACCAAGGCATATTATAGTCAAATTTGCCAGAACCAAAGATAAGGAGAGAATGTGAAAGTAGCAAGAGAGAAACAGAGAGTAACTTATAAAGGAGAGCAGATAAGTCTAAGTGCCAATTTCTTAGCAGTAACCATGTGAGCAAGAAGACAGTGGAATGACATATATCAATCAATCGAAGAACACAACTGTCAACCAAGAATACTGTACTCAGTGAATTGTCCATCAAATATGAAGGAGAGATCAAGATATTGCCAGAATAATAGAACCTTAGGGAGTTTGTAAAAACAAGACCAGTGTTTCAGGAAACACTGAAAGATGTCCTTCTTACAGAGGTGCCACAGAAAGCACAATGCACTAAAATAGCAACAACACCAAAAAGAACTCAATACAATAGCAATAAAACCTTGCCTCTCAATAATCACATTGAATGTGAATGGTTTGAATGCACCACTGAAGAGAAAAAGAGTAGCAGATTGGACAAAAATAAAAAAATCCATAAATATGCTGTCTACAATAGACACACCTGAAAAGTGAAGATAAAGACTAAAAATAAAAGGATGGGACAAAATACACCAAGCAAATGACAATCAGAAAAAAGGAGGAGTAGCAATATTAATCTCTGCTAAAGTAAATTTCAATGCAGAAACCATCATAAAGGACAAGGAAGGTCACTTCATAACGCTTAAAGGGTCAATTGGACATGAGGACATAACAATAATAAATATATGTCCCAAATGATATACCAACAAAATAGACAACACTACTATAGTAGTTGGAGATGTTAATATACCACTCTCAAAAAAAGATAGAACTGCCAGAAAGAAACTCAACAAAGATGCTGAAGAATTAAACCACACAATAAACCAACTTGATCTCATAGATATTTATATGCTAATGCACCACCAAAAAAAGCACAGTATATCTTCTTTTCCAATATGCATGGAACATTCTCCAGAATAGATCACATCTTGGGCCATAAGGCAAGCATCAATAAGTTAAAAATATAGGAATAATACAGTGCATCTTCTCAGACCACAATGCTATAAAATTAGAAATTAATAACAACAGGATAAAGGAGAAAAATGTATACACTGAACATGACTAGGTACTAGAAGAAATAAAAAATTAAATTAAAAAGTTTCTTGAAACAAATGACAATGAAAACACCACTTACCAAAACCTCTGGGAAACAGCCAAAGCAGTAATTAGAGGTCAATTTATAGCAATAAGCAAACACATCAAAAGGCAGGGGAAAAAATGACCATTGAATATCTAACCCAGCATCTCCAACAAATTGAAAAAAGAACAGCTAGAAAACCCAACACCCTCTAAAAACCCTGAAATTATAAAAATTAGGGCAGAAATAAATGAAATAGAAAATAAAAAAAGTAATTGAAACCATCAAGAAAACTAGGAGTTGGTTCTTTGAAAAGGTCAATAAAATAGATAAACCACTGGCAAAACTAATAAAGGGAAAGAAGGAAAAGATGCAAATAGCCCAATTAAAAGATGAAACAGGAAATATCTCAACAGAACCAACTAAAAGAAAAAGGCAATGGAATATTATGAAAATAAATACTCAAACAAATATGAAAACCTAGAGAAAATGGGCAAATTCTTAGAAAATCACAACCTACCTAAACTGACACCAACTGAAATTGAACACCTGGTCAGACAGACACATTAGAAAAGAAGAAATTGAAAAGGTAATAAAACAACATTGAGTCAAAAAAGTGCCCTCGACCAGATGGTTTTACAAGTGAATTTAATCAAACATTCAGAGAAGAACTGTCACCAATTCTACATAAACTATTTCCGAAAACAGAAAAAGGTGGAATTCTCACAGACTAATTCTATGAAGCAAACATATCCTTGATATAGGAAACTATAGGGCAATATCTCTCACAAACATAGATGCAAAAATCCCGAATAAAATCCTGGCCAATAGAATCCAATGATACTTAAAAAAAAAAACCAAAACAAAAACAAAACTCATCATGACCAAGTGGGATTCATAACAAGTATGTGTTTGAAATCACAGAAGCCATGGAAGCTTCATATATAAGTTATTAGATGGAGGGCTGGTAAAAGGGAGATCAATGTGAAGGGAGGGGGTAGAAGTGGGTGGATATCCTGTGGGATGGTGAAGCAGGAAATAAGTGCGTAAAGGTGCATGTGAGAAAGGCAGGGACAACACTGACACTAAAGTTAACTCCGCAA